AAGGCTCAGAGATAACAAAGTCAGGCCTGATCAGCTCCCAGGCTCTCCTTGATGCCCAGCAAATGACACCCATCAGTCTGGAATAGTCACATTTTTTCCAATCCACCTTTGAAGCAGCTTGTCACTGTTGTTGGTGAGCTGTTCTGAGAGGGTAAATAAGGTAATATACTCTCCCTGCTTATTTTTCCTTTACACAGTGTATTACTTGCTTTTCTGTAGTGTTGCTTGGGAGGTTTAGGGTGAGTTTGTTCCTGTTTCAGGTTTGTTCCTGTTTCTCCATCTCCAGGCTGGAATGTGGAGACAATTCCAACTGCATTCATGGCCAGAGCCATTCTCACCACAGTGCCAGTGCCTGGCTGGCCAAAGAGCCACTTGGTGCTGAGCATGAGGTTAATGAAGAGTTAAGGCAGTGAGCTCCAAGAGTAGCTGTGTTTTGTTTGTGAATAAATAGTTTTCTTTTAATCAGCTCCTGCTACAAGTTCGGTGTGCTCCCCTCTGCCATTGATTTTCCTGGGCTGTGTTAAGCTCAGGAGAAGTCAGTTCCCCTTGCTGTGATTACAATCAGTGGCCATAATGGCCCAGAGACCAGCATGGGCCTGATGCTAATTTGGTGCCTGGCAGACCAGCACAGCCACAAATGTCCCAAGAAATTAATTTAGCCTTTTATCCAGCAACTCCCAATCTGTACAGTGGTGATTAACACAACTGCCTTCCCTCAGAGGACTTTTTGCAAGGATAAATACATCAGAGTTGGAGGTGTTAGGACTCAAAAACTGAGATAAATACACCCTGAGAGACCCAGACACGTGCTGCATGGGAATGTCTGGCATGAAGTAACCTTGAGCATGTCCTCAGCAGCGGTGCAGAAAGCCCTGTGAAGCAGAGACCTCAACTCTGGACATTTCCCAGTGTTTGCAAGGCTCAGCCTTCGCTGCACTTTTGGTGTCTGCATCTCTGCAGTGTAGTCTGATCAGGAGGGGGAAAATTGGCTGGCATTTACACATCTCTTGCTTTCATTGGGATATTAAAAACAAGTTCAGAACCCAGAGCTGTGACACCTGTGACAGAAACAGCCCAGGCCCTCCCCTCCATCTCCCTTTGCTAACACAGAGGTGTTGCATCTCAGGGGGCAGCTGTTCCCAGAGTAAGAAGGTTAAAAGAATGGCTTTACCCACATCCTCTCCTGGCAGTTTGAATTAACACAAGAGATGACTCCGGGGGTCTCCATAACCCAGAGGCACACCCAGAGAGCACCCAAAGGCTGCTGGAGGGGCAGATGCCCAGGAGGTACCAGGGAGGGGGTCTGGGCAGCCCTTGCTGTCTTAGCTGGGCCAACTCAACCTCCTTGTACTGGGAGGAAACTTTTGGGGAAGTCAGGTACACTGCAAATACCAGCAGATTTTAATTTACACTGCTGGGCAGAGCACAGTTCTCTGTCTGGCTTGTTCCCCCCTCCCAGTCTGCTGCAGCCACCCACCCTCTGAGTGACCTCACTGAGCCCAGGCAGAGCTGAGATCCCTGGGTCTGCCCTGGCACAAAATTCCTGCAGGAGCTGGAGGAGGAATCTGCCAAATCTGGGCAGAGCCTCACTCTGCAATGCACAGCAAGGTGCTCAAAGGTGACCTGAGAGGCTGCCTGAGGAGCTAAAACACCTCCACATAAGGGCAGGATCTGTCCCTGTGTTTGGGATGTGTTGATGTGTTTGGGATGTGTCCCTGTGTTTGGGATGTGTCCCAGTGTTTGGGATGTGTCCCTGTGTTTGGGATGTGTCTCTGTGTTTGGGACCTGTCCCTGTGTTTGGAATCTGTCCCTGTGTTTGGGATCTGTCCCTGTGTTTGGTATCTGTCCCTGTGTTTGGGATCTGTCCCTGACAGGATGCACATCTTGTTTTTAAGAGCCCTGCAAAAGAGCTTTCCCAAAGAGAAGGCTGAGATGTCAGGAAGGAAAAACTCTAATTTCAGGCTGCAGTTTGCTTGAACTTGCTCTGCACTTCATAGATAGAGGACACCTGACATGATATTCATTTACAGTAAGTTTATTTCTCAGTGCATTACATGAAAGGTCTTTGGTATTTGTGGGTCCTTGAATACTGTTCCCACTCTGCTCCGTAAGAAAATGCTGAATACAAAACATTCCATATACAGTAACAAACCCCATAGCAAATAAAGAGCAATAGATATTTTGAACAATAACATAGCAATATGAAAACAGATAAGTAACCATGCAAGAGGTGGAACAAACAGGTTGTGTTTACAACAAACATTAAAGCCTGCCATAAATGAGTTCATCCTGTCAGACGAGATTTATTCTTGCTCTAAGTTAAGAAATTACACATGATTGGAAGATACTGCCTATGGCTGCCCTATAAAAAACCAAATGGTTGTAAAGCTGATCCCCAGGAGAGAAGCCAGGACCATTGGTACACATATGAAACACGTTGATATAAATAAAAAAGGTACTGTGTAAAATGACTGGTGAAGAAGTTACCATTTCCTTCTGTGGCTGGGAATGTGCCTCGTGAACAATTATAGCACCTTTCAATCCCTTGGTTTCACAGGGAACCAAGAAATCACAGAGACTCTGAGTAGTTTAACCCCCACACCCCCAAAGGAATGTCATCTTGAGTCAGATAGAAGGTGTAAAGGTGGAGGAGGATGGCTTTCCAACCATTGCATCAGGAGGGAATTCCAGAAGCTGATTGTCTTTTTTGGAAGCCTTTGTCACAGTGCTCAGGGTCCCACATGACAACAGCTCATGGCAGTCACTGGAGCAGAGCTGCTCCAGGGCTGGGTCTGGTTTTTAAACCCTGTTCCTTTGAAAGTTGATGACAAAATGACCTTGGAGTTTGGTGGGAGCAGGTGAGGGCTCTTCTCTCTAGCTAATTCCTATTTCCCTGGGTTGCTATCAATTCCTTACAATAAGTGCAAATTAGACCCTCTGGAGAGGAGCATTCCCTGCCTCCCAGGAGTTCCAGGTTGCTGGTGAACATGAGGGTGCATGACTTGCAAAGGGTTTTGGTTGTGCAATGTGCTGCTTCTGGTTAGCTCAGGGCAAGGAAAACACTACTACTACCAGAGCTGAGCCAAGTCAAAAACACACTGGAGCTCAAACAAACATCAAGAACTTCAAAAAAGTCTTAGGAGACAAAAAAAAAAAAGAAAAAAAAAAAAAAAAAAAAAATAAAAAAAAAAAAAAAAAAAAAAAAAAAAAAAAAGAAAAAAAAAAGAAAAAAAAAGAACACACTATGGTATTGCACAGTATGTATGTAAGATAAAGCACTAAACGTTTCAATTAAAATATATTTCTAAATGAGCACGCATTCAAAATAAATCCCCTAAGTTACATAGACATGGCAAGAAGCATTACATGCCCTGGCTGAAATGAACCTCAGGATCCTGCCCATGATGGAGGATGTGGTGGGAGTGGTTTGCTTGGTCATCGATATCATCAATGCATCAATGTCAGTGTGTGAGGCTGTGCTCACCTTTAAATGTAATTAAACTGGGGTGGCACAACAGTGTGGCCCAGCCCTCGTGTGAGTGGAGAGGAATGAAACCCCAGCAGAGAGAGAAAGTCCATCTGGTATAATCCTGCTGTCCCCCATTTAAAGATACAGTACCTCATCAGAGAGATGGGGCTAAACAAAGCAAGGAGAAGAAAATTGCATAGCTCATAGTATCAATAATTAAAGTGGTTTCAACCCAAACCTGAACAGCCTTTTGACAATTGACTTGGCAGGATTAATTGCAAACAACTTCCATTAAATTTTCCTTTCATCTTGTCAGTAATTTAAATAATACAAAATTCCAAATCCGTGTCAGTATGAATGCCTCAGCAATGTGAGTGATTAAAGCATTAGCACTCACCAAACTCATGCAACAGCTTTGAATGCAGAAGACAAACTTGGAGAAAGAAAATTTCTCTTCCAGTTCAGTGTGAAGCCTCTGAAATGCCACGGAAGTAAAAATGGCCTCATTGTATTCCCTCTTCCCCAAATTCAACCCTGTAGCTACAGGACCAGCGAAAGTGAATTTCCCCATTTCCCTTTTTAAAGATTGCTTTGGCTGGGTTTGGTTCCTGAAGCTGCCATGAGGACAGATTATTCCTGTGGTCTGTACTACAGCTGGCACCAGCCTGCCCAGTACATGAGTTTAGACTGAACTGAGATTTCTCCTCACTCCTCAGGCCTGATTTTCCAACACCAACTGGCTGATTTATCTCCTGGAAGCCACCAGTGGGGTCCATGTGATCCAGACCAAGATGGTCCCAATTCACCACAGAGGTAACCAAGTACTTCTCAATTCCAGCACAGGAATCAGCCTGCAAATGAGGAAACATCCTTTTTTTGGACGTTTAATTCTTAGATGGAATGATTATTCCAAGAATGTTCCCATGGCTGAACCTTGCTTGGCTGGCCACAAACAGAGCTCTTGCCCTGCCAGTAGTGGAAGGAGGGACCTGGGCTCTTAGAGCAGCACAGACATCCTCCGAGTTAATGCTGGGCTTAGAGTTAGTGCTGGGGGTGAAACTAAGATGCATCCAGAGAGGCTTTATTTCGTTCTCCCACAGGGACTGCAAATACAGGATGGCTCCTTGAGCTCAGGAACCTGCTGGACTTGAGTTCTCCTCATGTTCTTGTCTCTACATCACAGTCCAGCTGTAACTCAGAGTGCAGCCAGGCACCTCCCCAGACTCCTGCAAAGCTCTGGGCTTGTTTCTTGGGAAATTCAATCATTCAGAAGCACAACGTGAACCAGGTGGGCTGAAGGAGCCCCACAGCTGGCACTGGCCAAGCAGGGGGAGGATGCAAAGGCAGGGCAGGGATGCAATCCCTGCAATGCCTCCAGCACAGCTGGTTGTTATTCAGCTGCCCAGCAGTAAAAGCAAGGCTCTGGTGTTTGCTCAGCATCAGCTTAAGCCATTTCACCTGCCTGGGGATTGCTGAAAAGCAGGGCCAAGTGAAGGCAAGGTGGGCTCAGCCATCCTGAAGGAGCCTGGAAGCTGCTCAGTTGTGGAAATGCCAGGCTCTTCAGAGCAAGAATTGGGATTGGATGTCTCTGTTGGTAGCACTGCCATGTGGACAGTGGATGTGGACAGTCAGTTTAATGTGTGCCTACTGCTGGGCTGGCAGAGCTCCTCCATTTTTTAGCCTCATTTCCAGAGGTCTTTGCCTTGGGAAGATCACTTGGGGTGCTGAACACAGGCACTGCAGAGTGTTTTCTTTGGAAAGCCTCTGACAGAAGCACTGCAGCAGTGCAGCCCAGCCTGCTCACACAGCTGTGTTCTGCACAGGAACCAGACACAGAGGGGCCATAACACAACTCAATTTGCTCACTTTTGTCCTGGGCTGAATTTGAGAACTGTCAGAATGTGGGAATTAAAAAGTAAAAAATAGTTCAGTCAGTTTTGTTGATTAAATTCCCCCTTCTAACAAAAATCACTGTCTACATGAATGACATCAGCTTGTCTGACCTGGTTAGCACAGCAGGTGGAGTGATTCATTTGTCACTGAAGGGCAGGTTCAACTTCTTAAACCTGGAAGCTGGTACTTCCCCTAAAATAACCAGTTATTGCAAAAAGTAAAATGACTCTGTACTTAACTCCCAGTGCAAGATAAGCTCTTGACAAGACTGTAATTCCCTAGGCTGTGGTTTGCTCCTACACTGTCTCCAGATCCAAATGGTGAGGAGTTACTCACAAGATTAAAACAAAACACTGTGAAAACATTTTTCCTGATTGCTGTAGGATTAATAAACTATTGCAAAATATCCTTTTCTGTGAATAGCTACTGCCACCACTTAAACTAATTATCTCTGGATGTATGCACAAGCTGAACACAGTATGGGAAAATTCTTGCACAATTCCATCATATCTCAAGCAAACTGCTCTATGTTTTCACAAAAATAGTCTAAGCTCTCTAACCCAATGTTTCCATGAGCATTTGCATCACAAGTCCTTGTTTTGCCAAGCATAAATAGAAATAATATCCCTCATATGCAATTAGCAACATGAAAAGCCAGGGTTTTGTTGCTAAATCCAGAGAGCCACCTGAATTTTAAGAGTAATACTTTTAAATGTACTTTGTGTTCTAATTTGTTCTTTGCTTAAAAGAAATCCTTGCAGATCATGCTTTCATGGCCCATGGAAGTTGCACCTGGAAGTCAGTGTGACACCGACACAGGAAATAAAAGCAGATGCCTCCAACTGCAGCAATGGACAAGGCTGAGGCTTGGCTTTGGCTCTGGGTGGGATGGATGGACTTGGCAGAGCTTTACTGAGTGACTGTCAAGGTCAGTGAGAGAACAAGGGCAGGGTTAAACCCTCGAGGCACAGCCAGGAGGTGTCACTCCTGTAGGCAGCTTCTGAGACACCTGATAACTGCTATTCCAAAGGCAAACAACAAAATCAAGGAAAACATTCTCAAAACCTTCTCTGAGCTATGGATAAGTCATTCCCTGCAACCAGGGCTCAGTATTGGGCAGGGAAGGAAACCCAGCCAGCAACACTGCAGCCTCCCACCCACTCCATCTGCAGGGTGCAATTAAGCACTGGGTACTGTATCTTTAACTGCAGAACAGGCAGGGAGGACACAGAGATGCTCCTACTTCATCCGGTGGCTTCTCCTCCTGGCTTCACCATCATCCAGCAGGGAAGAGAGGATCTGGTGGGCCTGGGGCTGCCGGGGTCCTCCTCGCTTGATCTTGATGCTGCTCCTCAGGGGGGAGCCCAGGATCACATCCTGTCCAGAGCCTGGCTCAATGGAAGACAAAGAGTCTGTAAGGAGAGAAAGTCATGGGAGAGCACTATTTAAAAGGGGAGGCTGAGGAAGACACTCGTGGGCCCTTCTGAGTGGTTCCTCTTCTGGGAGCAGTGTGCTCCCTCCTGTTTGCTCTCCAGGCAGGAAGCAGCTTTGGAGCCACAGCTCTGCTGCCATCACGCTTCTCCTGCATTAGTTGTTTCCCCTCTGAGCTCTCTGGGGTAAGTGCTCCTACTGCAGGGCCTGTTCTCCTTTGCAGTTCCATTTCATAATTTATCAATTATGAATTTACTTGGGCTGCAGCAACTACTCAGCACTGCCCACAGACTCCTGGTGTTGGAGGATGAGCTGGTGGGCAGTGATGCTCTTAGGGTTTAAGTACCATTTCACTCCTAGTAAAGGACATTTGGAGGCACTGAAAAGATAGAATGGAAGGATTCACCCACCCTGGGCTGCAGCCAAATCAGAACTAATGCTGGAGATGGATGGTGGCTGTTCCTGGTCCCAGAGCACCTCCAGGTAACAACCTCCTGCTCTTCTCTCAGCTAAACAAATTAAATATACACTGCTCTGGGCCACTCTTCATCAACAAATGCTGGTGGCTTGATCTGCCTCATCATTTCCAATGCCCCAACTTCTTCCTTCTGCCTCCAGAGCTGGATGTTTGTTTCCCTGCCAGGAGCTCAGTGTGCCACCCTTGGCTTGATCCCACCAGGCAGCGTTTCTGTTTCCAGTGAAATTTTGGCTGCTGGAGGATTTGGGCTCTGTCTGCTGGCACCAAACCCTGCCAAACAATTTGGGCTTTGCTGTGTCCTGCTGGGCTGCTCTCTGCAGCTTCCAGGCCAGGTCAGCTCCAGCTGCCCTCCCAGTGCAGAGGAGAGGTTTGTTTGCTGGGATGTTTTGCCTTGTTGCTTGGGTGGCTGTGGTTTTGGAAACCACACTCAGTGGGAAGTTCCTTGGGAAAATGAGAGCATGGGATTGGCATTTCTGAGTGGGGTTTCAAAGCTGGGCTGCCCCAGGACCTGTGGTCAAATCCTTAACACCTACACTGGGAACATGACCAGACAGTTGGTGCTGGGTGATTTAAAACTCTGTGGTGCCTTTCAGTCCAGGGAAGTCTGTGCTCAAGGGAAATATTTTTTGTTATTTAATGTCTTTTTCTCTTAGTTTGTTGAGACCTTTTTAACCATATACACAAAGATGAACATAATTGCACAAGGAAAATAGGCCTTACTTTCCAAGTTCCATTTCTAAACAGTATTTTTTAGGTCCTAAAATACGTATGAAGTGAAAGAATGGAACTATTTCAATAGCCCAGAGTAGGAATACAATTATCAGCACTTATGGGACAAAACCCCCCTAAAGTCATGTAATATAGGTGTTTAAATATGACCTAACCACGGTGCACAATTAAAAAACATCAATTTTTGCTGATGCAGTTACACTGGTAGAGAAGTACAGGTGGGTGTAAATAACTCATCTCCATCCCAAGCAGTAACAGATCAATACAAATGGCTTGCTGAAATGACTGTTTCAAAATAACAGCAGCACATGCCCCGTTGCTGCTGTCTTTCCAAAGAGAATGTGAGAAATAGCTAAATCAGGCAGTTCTGCTGGGGCAAGGCTGTGTGAACCCCAGTCCCTGCGTCTACAGAAGATTCCCAAGAACGTGACTTTTTGCTTTGTACCACTATAAATGAAGGTACAAAGTAAAAGCCAAAGGAGGCCCAGACCCTGGCTCGTGTAAATACCCTGTTCTGTTGGACTCATCCAGGGATCCCCCCTTTCCCTCTTCCCTGGAGATCATCCCAGCTGGCACGGGTTGCTGCCTAGGAAATCAAGTGGGCATCTTGATTCCTCCACCAGCTCAAAGCAAAGCAGAATAAAAAAAAGATGTATTTCTACCCCTGGAATGAAAATGAGAAGTGAAGCAGGATTAGTGCAGAGGTAAGGTCAGGGTGAGTGTGGTTGAATCATGGGGTTGTGAATCAGGGTTTCCCAAAAATCTTATGCTGTTGCTGCCTATTGCTTTTGGAAATAGCATTGAGGCCTCCAAGGGCTGGAGGCCACTGAGCAGAGCAGGCTCCAGGCCAGGCCAGCCATGCCCTGGCTCTGGAAGGGTCCAGCAGCAATTCCATCCCAGCACTGCTGGCTCCAGACAGGGCTGGGACTCCCAGGTGCTGCCTGAAGTGTTTTCTTACTCTGTAGTGAGGCACTGTCAGGACTGCTGGGCATTTTAGCTACTCAGCATTTCCAGAGCTTCAATCAATACCCAAAGGCCACGTCCCAATAAAAGTGGATGCTGATCTGAGGGGAGGTGTGAGCTGGGCTCACGAGCAAGGCTGGGAATGAGGTTCCACGTGTCAAGGACAGAAAAGTGCTCTGGGACTTGCTCAGTGCCATGGAACAGGTTTGCTGCTCACAGGCTGGGATAGCAGAGCCAAACATTTTGCCTCTAACTGTTTTTGAAAGGGGAGAAACTGGCACAGCAGGTTTTGGTAGCTGTGAGAGAACTGATCCTCAGCTAGCCCAGAAGGAGCAGTCTGGCAATAACCAACTCCTGTGACAATAACCAACACCATCCTGTGGTTAAGGGTGAGAACTTTCTTTAAGGGATGATGTACACACATGCCAGTGATGGGAGAGCCAACAGCCTCAAGAGATCACAAAAATCTATCTGAATGTAAAACATTTAAACTCTGTTTAAATCTGACTGTGAAAATAGGTTTCATGTAAGTTATGATCACAAAATGCTCAGGGATCACTGATTTTCAGGGTGACATGGCTGCACTGTCTGGGCTTTCTCTGCAAACCTGGTGCTGCACCAAACAAGGGCCTCAATGGTGTTCAAGTCACTTGGAAGATGCTGTTAACAGGATTAAATGATCTGGCCTAAAGACTTGAACAAGCAGCTCTGTGGGAAGCTGGTGGATGATCTGTGCCACATGGCTTGAGCTGCTGCTCATGACTTGGCTGCCTGAACTGTAACAAAAATCACTGTAAGGATCATTTCACCTGCTACTGGAAATCCAGAGGAAGTAGTACAGCTGCAGGAACTCCACAGTTCTAAGCTCCCCTAAGTCATGGTACCTATTTTGAAAATGGGGCTTGAACAGACCCCAGAGAGCTCAGGAGGGTGTGAGGATGTTTCACCATCCAGCCTGAGCAGAGCCCCTGCTTCACAAGAGAAGAAAACCTTAGCAGTGCTCACCATGAATTCCTATCATGTGCTCAAGGATTAACACTCTCTCAGCTAAAATCTTCAGAGCCTCTCGAAGCTGTTGGACACCTTCCCCCTGCAAGAAAGCAAACAAAACTGATGTTGGGATGTGTGGCACAATAGGCTTCTTGTCCACAATGTCACTTTGAGAGCACCAAACCCTGCAGTGGGGATGTTTAAACATGAAAATATTCAAAAGAGGAGAGAACCTAAGTAGGAGTGCAAGAGAAATCCCTGTTCAAAGAGCTCCTTATGTACACTCAGTCTATAGTTTGTTGTCCTTTTCACCTCAGGTGTGGGCTTGAAGGGCCAAAGAGATGTTGGGAAGTGTTTCAGGGATTGAGAGCAGAGATGTGAGAACTCCAGTGCTCTGCACATGCAGTTTGATCTCTTCTGGGAGTCTCCCTCAGCAGCTGTGAGGGACAACAGGGAAGTCATTCCAACCAGCTCCATGTGACAGAACAACCTCTGGGGACTGAGGTGTTCAAGAACATGGTGACAACATGGCCAAGGAAACCTCACAGACCAGGATTTCTGGCACACATTCAATCCAAACCCAAGGCACACTTGCTCTGCACATTTAACTGTGGGCTCACCCTCTGGCCCCCCAAACCCACCTGTCAAAGGGAATATGGTTGAAGGACAGCAAAGTGACAAAACCAAAAGTAAAGCAGTAGAAATACATCCTTACATCAGCACCTTTGTCACCTTCCTCACCCTTCTTGCCTGGTTCACCCTAAAACAAAGGAAGGAAATTTGGTTATATGGGGCTGAGGAGCCTTCCAGGACCCCTTGGATCCCTCCCCACCAAAGAAGAAAATTAAAGAAGATTTCACCAGCAGAGAACACATGGATCTTCGTGCCGAACGCCAAAGTTCTCTCCTGAGCTTTGCCCTGGCTCCTGACAGATTCCCAGGAGGTCACCACCACTTCTAACACAAATGAATTTGCCCAGGAGTGGCCAAGCTGCAGGAGGAGCCACCTGCCATGACCTGGGTCCCAGCAAGGCCATAAACATCTCACTGGGCTCTCAATGAACAACATTGTGTGCTAAAGCACAGATTAATTGCTCCTTTCCCTCAAACACACATGTTTTCATATTATATAGAACAGAAAACCTCTCTATTCTACTTTCATTAATTAGTCACATCACTTTCTGCCTCCGAAGATGGTCATTAAGCTTCTCTTGAACAAAGATCTCTGAGCTGTGAACATTGCTCTCATGTTTCCCCCCAGCCAGGAAGCTCATGCACTTTCTGAAGAGCAGATGACAAGGAGAGATTAAACCACTCTAAGCTAAACATAAAACAAAACTAACAATCTAAAATAGAGTGGAAAGGCTTGGGCTCCTCAAACTTGTTGGACATCCCTGAGACATTTGCAAAGCAGAGGTGAGCACAGGTGGAAGGACCAAAGAAAAGGCTGTGTGAATTTTATGAAATGATGAGGCAGAACCAAGGAAGAGTGATGAGACTCCTCCCAGAGGCTCTGGGGCTTCTCTGGAAAAGAAAAAAAGCCTATTTTCTCCACTAGATCTCTGTCAGTCAACCTTCATCACCACTGGTTTGTTTCCAATGGCCAGGTGTGCAGTGCAGACATCTCCTCTGTGCATGTGTTCAGGTATTGCCAAAAAACCATTTGGAGACATCTCTTAACCCTATTACAGGGTTTCCAGCTGAGCTGGGCCAGCTGAGGTGCAGGAGGGAGTTGAGAGCAGCTGATGGACTTGGAGCTGTTTAACTGTGCCCACCTTTGGGCTCTGGTGGTGCCAGGAGCTCCTGTGTGTGCCCAGCTCTGGCCAGAGGGATCTGCAGGCTCAGCACTGTGCTTTGCATGTTCCATTTGCAGAGGGATTCAGTAGGATAAGAGTGTCTATGGAACAAATGTCTGAGCTCTGGAGCAGCTCCAGGCCAGCCAGTGGCACCTACAGTGCCAGGCACCAGCCCCACCTGAGCCTGGCACCACCCAGGAGTGCAGCACTTACAGGAAGTCCCTTAATGCCCCTCTCTCCAGGCAGACCTGCTTGCCCCTGTTGGAAATAAAGGCAGTGTCATTAGGAGATCCTTTGCCACTTGACAAGAACACAGTGTAATTTTTACTCGTGGAATTAAGATGGCTTAATGAAAAAAACTTACACTTGGGGTAATGTGTAAAAAAAAAAAAAAATTCCTCTCCCTTGACATTATCACTTAAAGACAGCAAAAGGGGGTTATGGTTTTCTGTCAAGTATCAGCTCCAAATCCCATCAGGCTCTGGAGGAGCTGGGTTGGATGCAGAGCTCCTGAGCTCAGTGCCCTCTCTGTAAGACGATTAGCAGGCTTTTTGAACTTTCCAGCAGTCAGTTACATTATACCAGGAAGGAATTTGGCTGGAGATTTGTTCCTTACAAAGACACTGCATTCTTCTCTCTGGTAGAAGTGATGGGCTGCTCTGCCCCAGCCAGAACAGAGCCCAGGACTCCCACCAAGCACTGATTTAATCTGCTCCTGCTCCACACACCCCACAGCTACTGATCAAAACACAGGTACAATATTTTGGTTGGTTTGTTTCTTTCTCCTGCTGTGCTAATTTTCACATTGTTCTCAGTGAGGGGTTTTTGTTATTTTTTAAAAATTATTTTTTCTTTAAGAGAAATAGTCTGAACTAGTATGTGTTTGTTTGGGGCAGGATGAAATGCTGTTGAACTGAACATCTTTTTTTCCCCTGTTTTCCTCCACAGTGTTCCCATGTTGGAGCAGCTGGGGCAGAACAGAATCCCTGACCAGGAGAGCAGTTACAGGTTATTTAATGAGAAAGCAGGAGCCTGGGAAGAAGAGGCAAAATGTAAAAGCATTTATAGAAATCCATTAATGAAACAGCCAAATACATCCCCTGGCTCTTCTTCTGTAGACATACACAGCAACAAACCCATCCTTTTTATCCCTTAAAAAACTTACATATATGGGTGACAGATTTCTGCAGTGGAAAGGGAGAGCTGCTGGGTTTGTGTCCATCAAATTTGTATAAAACCAACAGAACATTCCCATGGAATGAATTCCTATGGAATGCCTTGCCAGCAGCAGGAAAAGGCCCCTATGGACAGGGAGAGCTCTGGGAGAAAGGCTCAGTCTGTCAGGTGCTCCCAGTATCTTCAAAGGGAAATACTTGGATTCTGCACTGGAGGGAGCAAAGCTCATGAAAAAGCACAGGCAGGAGGAAAAATCTCAGAGAGGAGCACAGCAACAGACTGAAAATACATCAACAGCCTGTGCTCCATGTCCAGGAGGAACAGAAAGGATGTTATCAGCTTAAAGGGGATCAAAGGATATTTAGGCTGGATGTTGGCAATATCTTTTACCCCAGGCCTCCCTGGCTGTTGCTCTGAAGAGTGCCTGGAGATGCTGGGAGCCTCCCTGGCTGGCAGTGCTTGGGATGAGCAGAGGCTGGGCGTGAGCAGCACACAGAGCTCAGCATCCAGGGGCTCTGCTCCGACTGCTGCAGGTCTCTGCCACATCTGTTCTCTCCAAGATTAAGCAGGAAGAATGTATAATAACATTTTCTCAAATCTCAGTAGATGTTGTAAAACCTCCCCCCCACCTCTGCTTTTCTTTGCAGCTGCACAGCTCCTCTGCTCGAGCCCTCATTTTTATCCACCAAACCCAAAATTGCAGCATGTAGTTGTCAAAACCAGCATTCAAAGCCACACTCACAAAAGACAAAAAGCACACAGAGCAGCCTACAGAAATTCTGACAGAAAAAGCTGTCAGCTTCCCTTTCCACACTAACAGGAAATACAGGGTTTTTTTCTATTTATCAAGACATTTTGATATTTGAAAATCTCATTTGTCCCAAACCTAAGAGGAGAATTACAATTCTAAATCCTTAGCAAGGAGGGAAATAAAGCAAATTCTAAGGGATCTGTCAGGAGCAAATGGACACAATGGAATAAGATTTTGTTTCAAATAATGTGTAGTAGTAATATGTAGTAGTAATATGGTATATTAGTACTAATATTAGTAATATGGTCAACCACAAACTACAGCAAAATGTTAAATGTTAAATGTTTATCAGTTTCCTGGATGGAAATGTGACACTTTGCCACACACCATGCCCTTTTATTTTTTTTTTTAGCTGAAAATAAAGATTGAATGACAATGAAGTGTAGTTGGTAATCTGTGCATCCATCTCATCAGTTCAGTTTTGCTCTCTACCAGAATCTTGAATTCTAGTCCCAGAGCTCCAGCAGTCTGCCATATATTTGTAAAGTCAAGTCATGCCCAAACTGGCTGAGCTGCACAAGGAAAGTGTTACAAAAAATGACCAACAGTCACTGTCTTTCGGGGAAGTACAAGTAATTTCTTACATCAGAACAGGACCAAGCACCCAAAACTAAATTTTAACAGAGATTTCCAAAGGCAGATGTGCCCCACCCTCAGATATCTGCTGCTCCTGACCCCTCAGGAGGGCTGAAACGAGCACCTTGCACAGTCTGGACAGAGGAGCAATTTGTCTGCTGCTGGTTATTCCCAGGAATTTGAGAAGCCAGCACGTTGGAGTTCACTGGTCTGCATTTCTCTGTGCTGGCTCCTTCAGGCATCCCTCTGGCCTGCTGGATTGGAAGGGGAGCAGGAATGCAGAGCAGGTTCTGCCATGGGGGGTCACACACCTGCATCCCCCCTTCACCCCCATCTGGGCCCAGGAAAATGCACTTGGAAGGAAAGGGAGCTTGTGTCCCACAGCTGTGGCACTGCAGCCACCCCTGAGACATCCAGCACTGCCAGCCAGGTGCCCTCCTTGTCTCTGGCCCCTCCTCTGGCTCTCTCCACAGTCCATGGTGCCCATTTCAGACCTAAGGGCTGAGGATGCTCTCCCACCCACTCCACTCCCAAGTGATTTTGTGCTCCTAGACTCACCCAGACCATTACCTTTTGGCAATTCAGCTGGACAGAAGCAGCCAAAGGCTCAAATGACCCTTTCAAACCCTTCCCAATGCTAGAATGGTGAGCTGGTGATCTGACACATTTATACCCTTGTTAGATATTTCTCTGGTAGCTCCTAAACTTCACCAGTTTGGAAATAACATTCAAACAGACTTTTTGTTCTCTGTTTCATTATCAGCACTGGGCAGCCCACAGAGGACTGAGGCACATAAACATTAAGAACATGACTTCAATATTCCAGATATGTTAAGAACATCATTTGTTCTGGGGAATGACTTTGGTTCAGGAAAATATGGTGAGTTTTTAAAGCTTTAATGCCACAGAAGGAAGAGTTCAGTCAGACCTCTCAAAACACTCCACACTAAACAGCTTTGGCTGGTGGAAGAAAGTTGTTCTCCACAGGCCTTTATACACCATGTCTTTGCTACCTCTTTGGGGTAGCAAATCTAAGTTAGCAAATCTGCTAATATCTTTGGGAAATACCTGACTTTGCAAGGAATTTAACTCTTTCTCTGGAAACCCTTATCTTTGTTCCTGCAAAAACCCCAGAAACTCTGCATTTAAAGTTGGTGGTGGCTGTAGCCCCACTGCATCTGTGAGACCTGTGCTGTGTATAATTCCACAGCCCCCACGTGCTGTGGGAATCTCCCTGTGCCTGTAAAATCTTACTCTCTCTCCTCGGTCTCCTTTGGATCCTTTTGGTCCAGGCTGGCCTGGAGATCCTGGCAAGCCCTGGAAAAGATGCAGAATGAGAAGGAATTAATTTCTACTGTGCAACCTTTGTGTAGGTGTAGTGAATACATTTCCCAGTGATCCTCAGCTCCTGAAAACCTCATACACCCATTAAGCAATTGGGCTGGATTCTCTTTTTCCCTCAAGCAAATACAACAGGAGCTCTGTTTGCAGATATCCCAAGCCCTGTACTTTCTGCAGATGCCTCTATTTGGGTCTTTTAATGCACTGCAGGCCCCTGATGTAACACATTTTTATTTTTTCAGCGTCAGTATGACAGGACAGTTCTTGTTCTCAGTTACCAGGAAGAAATTAATACACAGGTAGTATGTTTAGCTTAAAAATCCCCACTGCTTCCCCCTGCTTCTTAATTGCCTCAGTGGGTGGCAGGAGCAAGCACACATACCTGAAAATTAATTGGATTGTGTAGTGGAAATTATTTTGAAGCTATTCACTCACCCTAATAAACAATTTTGAAATTAAGCCCAATCTCTGCTAATAATTTTACTCCCTGGGTTGAACAAATCTATAAAGCAGTCACCAATGGCTAAGAAGGGCACAGTCTCCAGATTTCTCCTAATTGAACTGCTATGCAGAAATTGATCCAAATTCTTAACTTACCCACCCAGAGAAGCCACAGTTATTAACCAGACCAAGAGAGAACAATATTGTTTGTTTATATCCAGCCTGTCAGCTCTCCTTCTCCCCACAGCCACGTACAAGATGCTTTTTTCCCACCTCAAGTGTCTTGCACATTGTTTTCGAGGCTGCAGAAGTGAGTCTGGGGCTCCCCTCCAGGCCACTGGGGATTTAAGCCAGCCTGGTTAGGAGCAGCCCCCCAAATCCCCACACCACACCAGAGAAATGGGTTTTCTAGGCCCAGGGAAAGGAGTATTGCTGGGGGGATCTCAGTGCCTGTGAAGTGGCCCAAGGAGGTGGCACAGATGGGATTTTAGGGTGCAGATGAGGAGCCCTCTCCCACTTCAGCTGGGAGCCAGCAGCACATGGCTCCCTGCCTGCAGCCAGCTCAGCTGGGCTCCCCACCAAGGATTCAGAGACTTAGACCTGGCTTAGGAGGTTCCCTGGGGCTGCCAAACGAGGTAGGGCACAGACCAGGCTTGGCCCTATGTCAAACATGGAGCATGGACAAAATCCAAGTGTCCACAAGCATCCTTTGCTCCTGACAGCTCTCAGCAGTGTGTGCTGAGACAGGGATGCTCAATAACACTGAATCCCACAGTGCAAAAATAAAAGACTTACAGTGTGTGCTGCGTGTCAAAAAAGCCAGACTCTGCTGCTGAATCTACTTATGAATTGTGAATTACCTTATATTTAATGATGTTAAACTGCATCTGTCATTTGGCTGCCAAATCTCTCACAGTGTTTGTATCTATCTGGAGTTTCTCATTGTTCTCCAGAGTATTTCCTAATTGAAAGGATTCTGCTACACTGGCAAACTTTCCCTAACCTGTTGTTCATTGCTTCTTCAAAGTGGTTAATAAACACATAGGGAAAATCTTCTCTCTCTATTTTCAGTTCCAAACCTCCTCTTATCAGATCTGAGTTACATCCCTCTATAAAGTTACTTAACCTTTCTCTCTGCTCTCCAGTCATGTGGGATTCCTTTGAAATATTTGCTGCTGCTGCTTTACCTCCACATTAAGCAATGTTCTTCCCAAAACTGAGTCCCTTTGTATCAGCCAACCACAGTTTGGAGTAGTTTGGCAGTTCCCTATTCATGACTTCACTTCTTTCCATTTAATCAGCTTTTTCCATCCATGTGAGTACTGTGCCCTTCTTCTACCATAAATTTTTGGAGTGAGCTTTCCCCACTCCATTATTATCTCCCCCCTCCACAATGTTTGTATCAATAAATAAATAATCAAACTGATGGGAATTTAAGGTATTTTTCTTGAATAGAAAGTGCTATGTCTGGAAAAGTAGGCTTAACACGTTCACTCTGGTGAATTGGTGAATTCCCATTGATGCATTTTGTTCTTTTCTATGTGTTCCACAGGAAATGCATAGTTTTTCTATCACTGTGTTAGTAAAGCCCATGTCAGATCCTTTGCATCAACTCAGGCCACAGTGAAATGTTTTGACACAGCAGCAGCATGATGTGTTGTCATGATTAAGGACATTGGAAGACTCTGGAAAGTTCCCCAGCCATTTCAACCTCCTAATCCAGAATGAGAAAAAGGAATTCAGTCACAGAAAAAGGAATTAAATCACAGAATTTCATGGGGAACAAAACAGCAGAGCTAAGATTACTCTCCCTCCTTGTGCACGGGATGATGTTTCACCCCTGTCCCCCCTCTGCCCTTCACCCCAAAGCACCAAAGCACCTTACTTGTGATCCAGGGGCTCCAATGGGTCCTGGGGGCCCTTTGGGTCCTGAAGCACCTGGTGGCCCTGGTGGGAATCATAATTGGAGACAATGTTAAGGAGACTTGGAAGGAAGAATCCTAAATCCCAAAGGCATGCACTTCCTTTCATGTTCTGCTGAGTCTCCCAGTGAGTGAGAACCCTTCACCAAACACTGGATTACTGGACACCCACATCCTGACAGAAACATCCCCATGCCCTAAGGGGGATGTTAGAGCTCTGGGAGGAAAAAAATGGTGAAAATAGGCAAGAAGGATGTCAGTAACATCCCCATTTCCATGCCTTAAAATGCAACTTTTGAGAAAACTTAAACTAGATGCATGGAACAGCTCCATGAGAGCGAGGCACTGCAGGTGCTGGTCCTGAAACAATCTCAGGTGGCAAGGGAAGCTCCAGGGCTGCTGCACTTGGTCTCTCTGGGATGTCAGAAAGCTGATGGAGATGGAGTTTGGCCAGAGATAGGAGAGGCTGAGTGGGGCAAAGCAAAGCTCTCTCTTGGTCTTCACTCACTGCAGTGGTAATAAATTAATTTGAAATCTGTAGCACAGGAGAGCTGCTTCCAGGGTGAGTTAAGCACCATCTAAACAGGTCAGCTTGTCTCACACAGTCACTTACAGATTCATTCCTTTTGAAAAAATAATTATATCTCAACAGTAGCTGTTAAATTATACCTGCAGATGGGAGACAGGATATTTGCTTAGCCTGAACTTAGCAATACTCCTCTCTGCTTTAGTTGTCACAACCCTTGAGATGAAACAATGTGGACATTATATACAAAGTACAGCTGAATCAGCCTCAATCATTAATGCACCATACAAATGCTTAAGTCAAAGAATAAAGGAATTGAAGGATAAATGAAAGGCCCTCATAATGAAAGGAGAAGCCTTTTCTGCAACTAATGGGAGTTGACTCCTAAATATGCATCATACAGGGAAGTGCTGACGTTTGCAGGAATATTATCATTTAAGCCACCCATCAGCACAAAGAAGGCTTGTCACTGAATTTCAGTGACAGATTCTGGTGAATCTCAGAATTCATCTCAGATTCTGATTTCATTTATACTGGTGAAAATCTGGAATTGCTCAAACTGGCTCCAAAGATTTCACAGACGTCACAGAGCATCTGGCCAGACCCTGCTTGATGGAGCTCTGCTGGGACAGGACAGGTTTGCAGCAGGGGGAGAACAACTCTGCTCTCAGGAAGGAATCACTGGACAGCCCACTCTTAAAGACAGCTTTTAATTAGCCCCTTTCTCACGATGGAAAGCTGAAACAATCAGCCACTATCAACAGGTAAAACCCAGGTACTTCTTGCCACCCTTCCAGTGAGGACCCTCCCCTCCTCTCCAGGCCCAGGGCCCTGGCGCTGCCCACGGCTGTGCCCTCCACCCTGCAGCCCTGCAGCCCAGCCCTGGCTGTCACCTGGCGGCCCCACGGGCCCCGGGGCTCCCCGCGGGCCAGGCAGTCCTGCCATGATGGTGTCGATGACGGTGGAGGCCAGCTGGGCTTCTCCATCTGCGGACAGAGCACAGTCAGGGTCCAGCACGGCCGGGAGCTCAGCTAGGCTTGAGCCCAGCTGGGATCTCAATCAGTGTCCAGCCTAGCCAGGAGCTCAGCTAGACGTGAGCCCAGCCAGGATCTCAGTCAGTGCCCAGCATAGCCAGGATCTGCTAGACTTGAGCCCATCTGGGATCTCAGTCAGGGTCCAGCACAGCCCAGAGCTCAGCTAGGCTTGAGCCCAGCCCGGAGCTCAGTCAGTGCCCAGCATAGCCAGGACCTTAGTCAGTGTCCAGCCCAGCTGGGAGCTCAGCTAGGCTCGAGCCCAGCTGGGATCTCAGTTAGTGTCCAGCCCAACTGGGATCACAGTGTCCAGCCCAGCCAGGATCTCAGTTAGTCTCGAGCCCAGCCAGGATCTGAGTTAGTCTCAAGCCCAGCCAGGATCTCAGTTAGGCTCTAGCCCAGCTGGGATCTCAGTTAATCTCCAGCCCAGCTGGGATCTCAGTAAGGCTCCAACCCAGCTGGGATCTCAGTTAGTCTCCAGCCCAGCCAGGATCTCAGTTAGGCTCTAGCCCAGCTGGGATCTCAGTTAGTCTCCAGCCCAGCCAGGATCTCAGGCTCCAGCCCAGCTGGGATCTCAGTTAGTCTCCAGCTCAGCCAGGATCTCAGTTAGTCTCAAGCCCAGCTGGGATCTCAGTCTCCAGCCCAGCCAGGATCTCAGTTAGTCTCAAGCCCAGCTGGGTTCTCAGTTAGGCTCCAGCCCAGCCAGGATCTTTCCCAGTCCCCCGTGCCCAGTTCTGGCCGAGGCTGGCAGTGCCGCACGATGCCAAATCTGGCTCCTGGAGCACCCATCCTTTGCTCCAAAGAGCTGCTGTGGAAGAGGTTTTACAGTGGCTTCTGTGATCCAGAGAGAAGTTTGATAAGAGGATCCATGTTTACCCCTGAAAGAATTTTCTACCAAGGTTGTTGACATAGAAAGAAAGACAGAAAGAAGGATAAAATAGAGAAACCTGCAGCTGCCTGTTCCAATGAGCACTTTGTTTGTATTTTGTGACCAATGAGTAAAGAGTAAACGTGTGAGTTTTATAAGAAGGTATAAAAAGCATGCATGCTGTAATAAACACAGCTTTGAAGCATTCTGAAAATGGAGTGTGGCTTTGTATTGTCTCTTGTCTATGACAGGCTGTGACCCCCCATCCTGCAGAGCTGCTCCTCTCAGCCCTGAGAACCCCAGACAAGCTGTGCTTTCTCTCAAAACCTTGGTGTTTGATCCAGCTGTGCAACCCTGCCTTGGAACGACTGACCCCAGATTCCCATCCCCACCACACAGCTGGCTGGTGGCTGCCTGGCAGGGGAAGCAGGGCTGTGGGGCTCCCTCCTGCCTGGCACCAGGACCTGCTGAGGCTGCCTGGCAGCACAGCTCACCTGGGCAGGTGCTGCTGGGAGGGGCCCTGAGCTCTGAGGATGCAGGAAAGCCCAGGGATGGGGGTGCTCTGCCTCCTCCATGTGCTCAGGAAACTTCCCTGCCATTTAGGATTAGTTTAGGTGTTCACCTGGGCAGGTTCACTGAGCTCTGGGAAATGCAGAGAAGTGGAGTGGAGCAGGGAAGGGAAAGCCAGCAGCAGGAATTGGAGGAGTTGTGTGCTTTTGCACATCTTCCTCAGTTCTCTCCAGTCAGGACTAAAACCCAGCAGCCTGTAGCTGTCCATATCTTCCCTCTGCCTGGAGCCATAGGTTTCTATTCAGTTGGCAGCTGGATAGAAAACTCACAACTATAAATAAAAAAGCAACCCTTAGTATTTAATGTGATGCCAAGACCATATTCAACAACCCTGTTCCCTGTGGACCTGTATTGTGGCACACCTTTAATCTGGGGAGGTACCTGTATGGCAGCACCTTTCATCTGAGCACCCCACAACACTTTGGGACAGTTGTGGAAACCTGGGGCAAAAAGTCAATGAACAAGCAAGACAGCAAGGCCACAAAACAAGCAAGGAAACCCCACATCCTGGTGCTACCAAGGCTTTCTGTCCTGACCCTTTGCTGGAGGACCAACCATAAATCTTCTGTTTAACCTGGGTAAAGATGTTGTCTCCTGTTTAACCTGGATGAAGATGTTGGCTCCTGGTCACCAGGATGGCAAACCCTCTGAAAATCCCACATTTTCTACAGCTGGAGGCTGCCATAAAGGAATAATGTCCACCTCCTCCTGCCCATGACCTCAAGCTTACTCATGTTTCCTTCCACCCATCCCTGTAAGTCATCACAGTAAAATTCAGGGGAACCCTGGGCAGGAAAAGGCTGGGAATGTCTCCCTGCAAATGCCAAGTGACACCAGGAAGGTCAGAAGGGTGTTTGCTTGCTCTGCAGAGTTCAGCCCAAAGGTCAGAAGGTGAACTCTCTAGAAATTGTAGCAGCCACACTGCAAAGCCTTTCCAGCTTCTGGAGTGTTGGCAATGATAGAGAGAACTCCCAAGGCAGGTGTTTGAAAGCAGTTCCCAGGTGAAACTGGGCAATGGCTTTGACTGCCAAGGATGACAGGATACCTCTGCAATGCCTTGCTGGCAGCAGGACAGCACAAGATCCAACCCAGATCCCTCTAAGAACCACGTTTTGTGCCTAAACATGAATTCAAGCAGGTATTTATTTGACTGCTGCTTCTAAACCCATTCATCTCCCCACTCCTCACAGCCCTGAAACAAAACAACTGAGACTCTCCTCATGTTCAGGAGGAAAGGTACCCCAGTGAAGTGTGTAATCCAATTAATTTGAGTTTTATTTGACCATGTCAAAATCCATCACAGCTTGGAATTAAGATGAAATTGAGCAATGAGCATCAAACAGCAGTGAAGGCATTAACAGTTGCAGAGCCTTTTGTTTTTGAAGTGATCAACAAAATCAACTGCACATCCACAGAGAGGGGCAGAGGATGGACTGCAAACAACCAGGGCTTAATTTCTGCTGGAGGTAAGCCAGGGATGAAGATTTGGGTTACAAAACATTCCAGCTAAATGGCACATTATTACAATGACAGTTACTCCCACAAATCCACCCATCCTGACATTTGACTCAACATTATTTAATGAGAGGTGATCCCATGATTGTGACACAGGAGAGAGCTCTGATCAACAACCCTTGGGCTCAGCAGCTCCTGCCTGGCCTGGGCAGCACAGGACTGGGCCAGTTCCTTCCTGGACAGGCAGGATTCACTCAGAGCCAGCTTTCCTTCCAGGATCAGCTCTGAGTGAAACACTGGGAATAAAAAGGGTCTGAAGTGTGTTAAAACACAACCCTCATATGTTTGTAAAGGATTGCTTCCATATTCTCGTAAAGCAGCAGGAAGAACTTGTCCCTCCTTATAAACGGGGACATTCTGGGGCTCTCTGCAGGTGGAGGCTGCTAGAGCAGCCACAAAATAGCATCAGATGGAAGCAGGAATCTTCCCTTCTCAGCCACCTCCTGCACTGACCAGGCTCAGGAGCTGGATTCTGTTTCAGTGCTCCTGGATACCCCAAAGACCTTGATACTGAATTTGCTCCAGGAGCTTTCCAACCCCTATCCAAGCCAAGAGGAGTGAAATCAGTGTGGCCTGGTCGGGTAGGAGCACCTGTATTCTCTGGAAGGGACCAGAGACACCCTGAAACAGCCCAGAAATGCCCTGAAGGACCCAGTGAAAGCTGCCCAGCCAGAGCAGCAGAGGCAGCTCAGGGCACACTTGGAAAGGACTCGGTTTTCTCAATTCCTTTCCTCCTCTCCTTCCCCTTCGCTTCCTCTGATCTGCTCTCCTTCCTCAGGAAGGGCCTTGCTGGCAGCTGGGATGCTGCTGCACAGATCCCTCTCTCTCATCACCACTGACATGCTGGGCACACCATCAGCTGCCCTGCCTCAGTTTCCCTTTGCTCTCCCCTCAGGCTGTCCAGGGGAGTGGTGCACTCACCATCCCTGGAAGTGCTAAAAAATGTGTGGCTGTGGCCCTTGAGGACATGGTTTAGTGGTGCTGGGTTGATGGCTGGACTTGATCTTGGAGGTCTTTTCCAACGGTGGTGATTCTATGAAAACAGGTTAATTTTATTTCATGTGTCCTTGGCAGATCTTCGAGCTGCATTCTCTATTCCCTAGAAATCACCAATGTTAGCACAAGGAATAGGTCTGAGCTGGCTCTAGACCACGTACCTGATCACTCATTTTGAAGTGGCAGGGAAAATGAGAGATGCCAGTAGCAGCAGCCCCAGCAGTAGGGAACAGCAGCTCAGCTTCTGGCCAAGGGCTGAGGTTTCTGACTAAGGGATAAATCCCCCCATTATAGTCTTGATTTGTTGAGACAGGATGGAAATGAAGTAATCCTGTCTTAATTTTTTTTCTGCTACCTGATCTGGAGGGGAAAAATGGGACCATTTCTTTTACCACAGCACAGGGAAACTGAGAAAATATTTGTCTCCCCATTTCTGGCTTCTGCCTGCAGATAAATATTGCCAACAGGAACTTGTTGCAATTAATAAAGGCACAGGCATTAACCATGTTCAGGCAGATCCAAACTCTGTATAATAACAATAACCTGATACAGCTCTCACATCTCATTCCCATAAGCAGGAATATGCTTCCCTCTGCTGTCAGCAGCTGGAATTTTGTATTTATAGTTTTCAGATGTGCTCCTTTCAAAACAAGTAAATACATTTTAAAAAAGCTAAACAGACTTTACATGGCTAAATTTTACTGGTGGCAAAAGATCAGCTTTCCACCAGCCTGTAGGAGGCAAAATCAGCCAACAGAGAGGAAAAATTGTAAAAAAATACACTTGATACTGCCAGAACATTGTCATGGTGACATAGATACTTGCAGCTGGATTTGTCTGAAGAAAAAGTGCCATAAAGTTTTGGGCTACTCCTTCTGCAAACCAAGAAATGCACAGGCATGGGGGAGGAGTGCCAAGGGATGCCCAGGGATGTAAATGGAGCAGTCACCATCTCTTCACTGTTCCAAAGTCCATATGGCTGCCCAGTGCTGGCAGAGATAACAGAAATATAATTATCCTCCATTTATCCTCTTCCATCTGGGCACAACATTGAGTTCACCCTCCTCACACATCAGCTGGGGAGGCCGTGCAATCAAAACCTTTACTCACTTTTTAACTTATCCACTGATCACAAGGAAGAGTTTAATTCAAAGGGTGGTTGGAGGAGGGGGCAGCAGCAGCACCCAAACCATCCTTAGGGATCACTTGGAATAAAATGCAGAATGTATGATCCTGAGAGGAGTGAGACAACTGTAATGCAAAACTTCCTTGTTCTCAGGGTGATGAAGGCAGCATGCTGATGTTTATTTTGTGAAAATCTCAGTATTGAACTCAGTTATTCATCCTGTCCATACACCCTAAGTACTGAATACAAAATCGAGCTGTTAAAATTCTTCCTAAATTAAAAATACATCTGTTCACTTTTGGGAAAAGGAGTCTGGAGAGCAGAGTGGGTGGAAGGGAAGGGAGAGCTTGAGATAACTGTCAGACATGGAGAGACTTCGTAATCCTTGGCTGTAACTAAGACAACTGAGCTTTGAAGCTGGACAGGAGCAGCAGAGCTGGGGAGGAGGCACAGCTGAGGTCTGGGGGAGTGGAGCTGGGAGACCTGACAGAGCTGGGGCAGGAGGTTACAGACCAAGGGCAGACACAGCTGAGCTCTGCTCCCTCATTACCTGCCAGCTCCACAGGGCTGCACCAGGAGAATCAAGCCCAGATCTGAGAGCATTCCAATCCAAGTGCAGGATGTGCCTTTCCTAGAAAGCCTTTTCTTGCCCTGCACAGCACAAATTAAATAAATCTATTTTTTAAATCAGCACAAAGAAATCCTGGCCCTCCTGCTACAGGGAAGGGATAAATCATGGTGTCAGTCTGGACTTTCCAATCCATAATTCTGTGTTTTGTGTGGATGTGGGATAATGTGGATGCACCAGAAACACAGGTGGAAGAAGCATCTGCAGGGCCAGGGAAGGAGACACGTTTAACAGATGTCCTTGTTATAATTCCAGATCTCTGCAAACCTCTGGTCCTTGCTGATTCCTGAGCAGCTCTGACTCTCCAACACCACAGCAGCGGCACCAAGAGGGTTCCAACCCCACAGCCTTGGTGCACCAGCACCTAATCTGCCACTCTGGATTCCTCTGGCCCTTTCTCCCAGGTGATGCTACCTGAGCTCTGTCATTTCAGCAGAGACCTTCTTCCCACTCCTGATGGAAGCTTACAGAACACCAAGTTGCCTCCCCAAAGCTGTGCTGAAGCTAAAAAAACAGGCACAGAGAACAAAATCCTCCAAACCCTGCTCTCACTGACAGTTTAGGAGAGCAGGAACTTTGTCCTTCATTTTGGAGAGGTGAACCCCCTTGCAGCTTCCAAGATGTTCCATCAAACAGGAGCTTCCAAGAGAAGCTGAGCTGCCCCGTGCCCACTCTGCTGATGCCACAGGAGAACATGGCAACTGAGGAGGGAACTTACTTTCTTTTTCAGCTGTGGGCTGGAGTGAGTAGAGAACTCCTTGCTGGAAGGTGAGAGGGAGGCTTGGGGTGGCTGGTGGCCCTGGAGGACCTGGGGGACCTGGGATCCCAGTTTCTCCTGGAAGTCCTCTTGGTCCTTGAGGTCCCAACATCCCTGTGCAGAGGCAGGAGAGGATGTGTTAGTACCTTTGGGGATGTGCTAATGATGCTATCATGTGAAAAGGCAGCAAGAAGACAAAGGATTTCTGTCCTGAACTGCAGCTGTGGGAATCAGAGGGGTGGAGAAAATAGAAAATAGAAACAGCTTCCCAATTTTCCTCTCTTTTTTTTTTTTTTTTTTTTTTTTTTTTTTTTTTTTTTTTTTTTTTTTTTTTTTTTTTTTTTTTTTTTTTTTTTTTTTTTTTAGCATCTTCCTCTGCAAAGAAGCTTGACTTGGCTCAGAGGTGCTGCCTTTGAGCAGCCCAGTTGCTGGAAGAGTGAAATCTCCCCTCTCCCTGAGGCTGAGTGAGAAACTACAGGCAGCAAAGTGAAATCAAATCCTGTTTCCCTCCAGGTACACCTGTGTCACCTCCCTGCCAGGAAGCAGAGTCAGTCCAGGAGCAGACAGATCACATGTCCTGTGGGGCTGGAAGGCTCTCGTTGCAAACTGAGAAACCAAAAAAAGCAGACACATCCTTGGCCAGACCTTGGTCACTGACAGCTTGCCAGCAAGTGCCAAAAAGTGTCCAGGGCTGCTCTCACATTTAAGGCACTCTCAAAGTTTTAAATCTTACCCGAGCTCAGGTTCACAAGGCACAGAGCCTGAGGTCTGGCACCTCTTGTGCAGTATCACCTTCATCAAAACATTCAGAAACAGCTGGAAATGAAGAAAGACTCCTAGCTCAGGAATGGAGTGATCTCTGAAAGAATGGCCTCATAACCTTTTCCCTCAACACACAAAAGCATCATTAGTTGTACATCCTGCCATCTGACAGCTTGACACAAATGGTGGAGAAAAAAGGGAGTTAAAACAGGCACCCAGTGAGAGGGTTAAACAGGGAATGCTCTGCTCCAAAGGCTGACAGGCTCTTTCTTACAGCTCCTGAGCAGGATGGGGAAACATGATCCTGCCCTGCAGCTTTCTGGGCAGGCTCTCTCCAGCCCCACAGGAAATCCCAGGGTCACTCCTTGCTCCTGCAGGTGGTTGCCTGCCCTGGGAGCTCCTGGCTGACCCCAGCTCCCAGGGGACTCACTGCAATGGATTTGATACCAACTGAAGATGCTCAAATCTTGTGTGTCTGGCCTTGTCTGAGCTGCTGTCACAGACAATTTGTCTGATGTGAAACAGCTCCTGTCACAGCAGCACTGCCCCTGCAGGACTCACCTGGTGGCCCTGCTGGGCCCCTCTCCCCGGGCTGTCCCTTCTCTCCTTTGGGCCCTGGTGGTCCTGGGAGCCCGGTGGGTCCAACTGGGCCGGGGGGACCGACCTGTCCTGGAATCCCTGGAAATGTTCAGAAAGGAAATTAGCTGCAGGTCAGGGTGCTGCTGAGGTCAGAAAGGCTTCAGCCAACTCCAAACCAGAGGAGAGGGACTCGGTGAGGCAAAGGGGAGAAATGAAGCCGTGCACAGACAGGGAGGCACTGCTGGCAGGAGCCAGACAAGCCAGACTAGACTTTGCTTCTCCTCTTCTTCCTTCAATCCTGTAAGGAAAAAGCACATCCCCATGCACAAGACCACCCCCAGAAAGTCAGCAGGATGTGCACCTCCAGCTGGGATGTGCTGGGCAGAGCTACACTGAGCCCACACTGTCCCAATCCCAGGGCCTGAATGGCTTTGGCAGGGTCTGGATGTCTTTGCTGGGTTCATCCAGACACACATAAACTCCTGAGCCATCCCAGTGTACCAAAATACACAAAATAGATTTGCCAGAGAACATCAAACCCTGTCTCCCACTTACTCTATTACTCTATCCACATCACCCAGAGGTTCTGTGTCAAGGATGTTTCCCTGGTTTCTCCTGTGTTCATTCATCTCTCAGAGCTCTGTGCTGTGCACGAGTTTTTTTCATCCCAAAGTGACATTAGTGCCCCCAGCTTGTGCAGGAGCTGGCTGTCAGTAACTAATGCCACTGAGCAGGGTGCTGAGCAGGCTTCCAGGGCAGCACCAGAGCAGTGATTGCAGCTCAATGGGATGTTTCTTGACAAGCCCACTCAGACCCCCAGGAAGCCCAGGAGGGGTGCAGAGGCAGCATTAGTGATCTCAAAGTCGCCACTTCTGGTGGCACTAAATAAAATCTTAATGCTGTTTTCCCCAGACTATCAAAACAACAACACCACTTGGCAATTTTATGGTGCTGTTCAGACAAACTCTGCTGATCTTGGGTTCCCATGGAGAGACATTTAAACCCTGTGCAATCAGCACTGCAGCTTTAATGCCCTGGAGGGGTGGGTGAGTGGCTCTCTGTCTGCTCAAAGTGGCAATGGTTACAACAGAGGCATTAACTGTCAGAGCCAAGAGAATCAGAGATTCCTGGTTTCTGGGCTACCAAAGGGCTCAGAGCATTTGAAAGCAGTGTCAGATGCAAGCTCCAAAGCCAGAGGAAGATCAGGATGATTCCAAAGTTCAGTGCACTCAGATTTCAGATTTTAGTCCATGACCACAACACAGCAGAGCAATTTACGTTTGATCAACTCTTAAGGAGTGTCTTTCTCCTTCCCAGGTATCAGGAAAGGTACTGGACCCCTCAAAACCATTGCCAGCAGAATATGCTGTATATGGGGGTGGAGAGCATGGATGGGAATGGAGGGAGAGAAGGAGAAAAGGAAAGAAGCTGGACAGCACCTTCCCAGCTGGTAGCAGGGAACAGGGCTGCACAACCACTCAAGGCTCACAGGATTTGCAGCTCCCTCATTTGGGTACAATTCCCACTCTAGATGTGGGATAGCTCACCTGGAGAACAAAACCTTGTCACCCCAGGCATTCATCCAAACTCCTCATTTCTCAGAACAAAGCAATAATCCCCCAATATTAGATCCCCCTGGAAAGGTTCCCCTTCCTCTTTTCTTTTTTTCATTTTGCAGAGATGTCCAAACTGGTTTTTCTTACCAAAATGAAATCTCTCCTCCTTCAATCCACGATGAATGTGGGCAGACTGAGGAAATGACATTTCTCAGTGGCTTTCGGTGGGAGTGGGAGCCTGTTGCATTCAACTTTTGAATGCATTCAATCACCAATAAAGATCTGATTTAATCTGAGTATTGAATATGGAATTAAGGCCAGGTTTTAGTTTGGATCAATTTGCTTATCCACAGGACACAAACTGCAGGCTTTTCTATGGATAGAAAGATGGATCTCCCCTGGCAGGGGATGCTGTCCTGGGAAGCCCAGGCAGGTGATCAGGAGCCCTTTTATGGGAACAGCTTCTACCTCTATAAAAACCCCAGCACACCTGAAACTTCACTGCAGCAAACTGCAGCACAGAGGCAAGAACAGCAGAAACTTTTGCAAGCACGATGCTGTGCTGCTGAGTGTGGGTCAGAACATTCCTCACTTTGTCAATCACCCTCCATCCTGCAGTCCAACCTTATAACTCAACCCCATGAAGTCCTGCAGACCAGGAGCAATCATTTCCTGCAGCATCATCAGTGCCACTGCTGCAGCAGAGCTTTAGAGGAGCTGCCACTTCCTTCCCTGGAGGGGGAGGCACTGAAGGAGAGGCTGCAGAAGCAGCACTGGGCAATGAGTCAGGCAAGTGACAAATACTGGTGACAAATGGTGTTACCAGCTTAAAAGAGACAAGTGCAACGGGGGAGAAAGAGGGAATGATGCAGGGAAAAGGGGGGAGGCCAAATCTTCAGCTGGCATAAATCAGCTCTGCTGCAATGCCATTGCTTCCAGAGAGCTGAAGCCCCTGGTGAGTGTCTATCCTCCAAACAATATGAGGCAAAAGGCAACAGGAAAAATATTTTTTAAAAGGCAGACGGTGAGTAATCCACTGCTGGAAACCAAATCAGATGTGCAGAGACCTGGATTTTCTTCCTGGCTCTGTCATCAACCTGCAACGCACCATCTGCTGCCCTCCTTCCCCTGGGTTTTCCCTGCACAGGAGCTGCTCTGTTGATATGGAGCAGAGGAAAGTGATGTCCTGAGCATCCCCAGAGGCTCCTGCTGCCCCTGGCAGGGTAACAGCAGCTAGGGAAGAGTTTTCTGCCATCACTCAGGACATGCCCTGCTGGCTCTGGCCACATGTGCTTCCATGATCTGCCTCTCCATCAGACACTGCTGTCCATCCTCTTTGCTGGGGAATGAGTGTCTCAGAGGTGATAAAACTGGAGTTTGGCCTCTCCAACCAAAGCAGCCTATGATCAGATAAAACCCAAAGAACAAACTCAGCCTCTCCATCTGTGAGGCTCCAAAAAGTTCCTTCTGGTTTTTGGGACATAAGTACAGGACTGGGCACAACAACAGTTTGTGCTTTGAAGGAGAAACAGCAGAAAATATGAACTTACCCTGTGGTATCAGCTGCTCCTCTGCACCTCTGTGTCCTTTAGGCTCTGTTCAAGAAGGACAGAGTAAAAAAAAAGAAAAAGAATAAGAGAAAAATAGAGAGATATGAAAAATTAGGTCTCTTGCTGCCAACTGGCTCAGCCAGAGTATATATATTTTCTTAATACTCAGAAAAATGTATTCTGTTGATTAACAAGCTGATCAGAAAGGCCAGTGCTGCAGCTGTCTCAACAGCACTGATTGCTTTTAAATGATTGTCTATTCTCAGCCCTGTCACTCACAGAAGGAACAACCACCCTCATGAACAGTAGCAAGTTTTCCTGGACCTCAGCCTGGAGAGGCATCAGCCAGCCCAGAGCTACAGGGTGATCCAGAAACCCTTCCAGAGCTCACAGCAGCCTGTCCATGTCACCCACCTTTGTGTCAGGCCCCAGCATCCTGCCCTTGGTCCATCCAGCTGCGTGGCAAGCAAGGTAGGGCTGGGATTTATTTTGGCTGAACACCCAGCAGCAGGACAAAGTCAGGAATGTTTCCCAAAAGGCTCAGGGGGAGGGGTGGGAGGGACAGAGGGTGAGCTTTCCACAGCCCCACATCACCCAGGATGCTCAGGCTTGACTTCCACCTTCTCCAACATCCCACATGATGAAAGATCTCCTGAGATCTCTGGAATAGAACCTGGAGGCAGCTTGGAGCAACAAGTCAGGGCACGGTGGTGAAATCATGCAAAATGGGGAGCTGCCCTCCATCCTAAATTGTGTGGAGCTCCCTTCATTCCACCAAAATCCATGCTGAGTTTTTCTGGCTGGCTTTGAATCGTGGACACAGACTGGTGTGGGGAGGGAAGGAGGCCAAATATGGACCCAGATCCATTAAATATCCCCAGAGCTCCTTAGCAAAGCATTTGAAGCCCACAGAGGCTGGGCAGGGGCTCCAGCAGTGTCAATGAGCAGCTGAAGTGATTATTTCTCATTGCTGAAAGACACTGGCCTAGCTCCAAAAGCTCCAGTACATTCCTAATTCCTTTATTACACCACAGCTATTATTCCACACCAGGTTAAATAAATCAAGGCCAGAAAAACAAAGGGTAAGAGTGAGCAAGGACTACACCTGGTAGCACACACAGAGCCTGGAATCTGGCTGTGTGACAGGCTCAGCCACAGCTCAGACATCACCACCTGCTTCAGGAGGTGACCACCAGCCACCACCTGGCCTTGCTGCAGGGCTGGGAGGTGCTGACCTGGAGCTTGGGCTGATCCAAGTGCTGCAGGGAAGCTGCTCTGCCTGACAGCACTGCCAGAAGCCTGGGGGAGAGGCAGCCACTGCTCTGTGGCCAGCAGGACACAACCACGTGTGAGGAACCTCCCCGAGGACCAGAGCCACCAGCATTTTGCTGGGCTGACTCTGGTGCAGCAAAGTGCAGAGACACTGCCACAGCAAAAATAAATGCCATGGGAAAGGCAGAATGAGCATGTAATGGACACTGGGGAAAGTGCTGTAATTCAGCTCCTGGCAGCTGTGGCTGTGGTTCTGAGAATACTTTGCAGAACATATTGTTAGTGAGCCTCCCTCCATGTTGTGGCATCATGACAAATCATAAACAGGGACGACATCTGGACTGTTTTGGTCGCTCCAAGTCTGCTGCAGTCAGGAAGGGCTGCCATAATAAACTGCTCAGGCCAAAAAAATTGGGAAAAAAATAGAAGAAGAAGAAAAAAGCAAAGTAGACCCTAAAGAATAAAGAACTGCTCTGGGAGCAAGCAAAGCAACAGACAGACAGGGCTTTGGAAGCAGAGAGCAGGGATCTTGAAAAAAGATGCCAAGGTCAAGAAAATTCAATGTGTGGGGATCTGTCTGGCCAAGTGGGCTCAGAGGGAGACTTTCTTCTAAGTGTATTTTTTTTTCATGCCACAAGAGGGATCATAAACCAGCCCATTGTGTTTATGGCAAATTTAGAAAATATAAAGCAGACTGTAACTGATGCTGCTATTCATGGGAAAGTTTTTTGTCCTAATAAAACCAAGAGTGACCCATGCAACCCATTCCTCTATCCCCCAGCATTGCTCCCAGACTGGGAAATGCTGCATTTGGTGCTCGGTAGGTAAGCAGGAACTGTCCCACTGTGATCCTGATGGCTCTCTGGAGTTTCCTCAGGAATATTTTGACATGTCCAAGCCTCAAAATCCACAACCTTTGGACTTAAAACAAGCCCACTGAAACACACAGTGGCCCTGCTGGGGTTAACAGAACTTGAACAGACCCAAATTCAGCTCCCAGCAGATGTTTGTGCCAACAGAAATCGTGATGCCACAAGGCACCAGGGCTGGCAAAATGCAGCTTCAATGGATTCCTGCCAAGGCCATCCCTGCTCTGCTCTGGCTGAACCCAGGGAAGGGCAGAGCCCTCCCAGCCCCTCTCCCCTGCAGCTCCCAAGAGCAGAGCAGACCCAGACTCCTTTTTAGCTGCCCAAAGGCATGGTGTCTGTAGGATGGGTGATGTGGTGCCGAGCAGGCCAGGCTTACCAGCAGATCCCACGCTTTTCCTGAGGACGGTGCCGGGGTTCAGCAGGGGGAAGGCGTCGGGCAGCAGCTCTTCGTACCACGTGGCCGTGGTGCCCGTGATGGGCAGGTTGTTCTCCAGGGCTGGGCTCCTCTCTGCAGCCTCCAGCAGCAGGATCTGCACAGGGACATGGGCAGCACACACAGCTCAGCTGGCTCTCACAGCAAGGGGCTCACAAGCACAGAGCTGGAAATGGGGTGTGTATTCAAGCACAGAGCTGGAAATGGGGTGTGTGTTCTATTGCCATCTGTCAGAGGTAGGGCAGTTCTCTGCTGTTCATTGGGCAGTTTTTTCTTTATCTCTCCCATAACCAATCCTCCCTGCAGGAGATATCTTCTGTTTATGGGCTATTAATTATTAATTATCTTCTGTTCATGGGCCAGTGAGTGTCCCTGCATGGCTGAGAAAATTCCAGCATCCCGTGGGGAGATGCTCTGCCCAGGGGAAGGAGCCATGTTGAAGAGGTTTTACAGTGATTTCTGTGAGCCAGAGAGAAGTTTGAGAAAAGGATCCATGTTTACCCCTGAATGAGTTTTCTACCAAGGTCATTGACATAGAAACCAAGAAAGAAAGAAGGATAAATAAGATAAACCTGCAGATGCCTTTTCCAATGAGCACTTTGTCTTTCGTGACCAATCAGTAAAGTGTAAACGTATGAGTTTTGTAAGAATGTATAAAAAGCATGCTGTAATAAAATAACAATTTGAAGCCTTCTGAAAATGGAGTGTTGCTTTGTATTGTTTCTGTCTCAACTATGACAGAGCCAAGCATTCCTACCTGGATACAATCTGACCTGGGACCCCCACAGCAGCTTTCTTCCCCCTGCATTCCCAG